AGGTGAATTAGAAGAAGGCAGATGGGACGCCTCCATGTCTGTCTTTCTGCCTGTCTGCCTGTCTGTCTGTCTGTTGGCTGCAGGTTGAACACACTCTGCTACTCCTACGGTCTAAATGAGGAACCCCTCTCCTCCTTTTCACACACACACACACACACACACACACACACACACACACACACACACACACACACACACACACACACACACACACACACACACACACACACACACACACACACACACACACACTTACTGTCTCCCCCTCTCTCTTTCTTTTTACTTTTTAATGGGGCACGGGCCTGGGGCGCAGAACCAGCTCCCTCCGGAGCAACACACACACAGCATGCACACACACTGATCATACATTACAGACACACCTGGATGCCCTTGCTCATGGTGTGATCCGCACAGAGAGGCAGAAGAAAGGGAAACCACGGCTCCCCAAATGATGCCCCAGTCTGTGAGATGATGAATCTGGTTGGTGATTAGTTAGTTGAGGAGGGAGGCGCACTGCTTAGGCCCTTTTAATGGGCCATAATTTGGAAGATAACTGTATTGTCCTATCTCTCTTGACATTTAAATCTAATCAGACCCTGCTGGTTAGCGCTGTGGTCCAAGACGAGGGAGCCTGGGAGGGATGAAAAGCCTGCTAGCGGAGAGGGATTGGCCCGTAGTGGATCATGCATCCCTATGGGCTCAGGCTAGGCAATTAGAAAACAAGGCCCCGGCACACATATCATTTCCTACATTCCTTTCTCATTTATTTTCCTTCTAACTGACGATTACAGAGCCTCAGATTCAGGGACAGAAGAGAAATTCACTTCCCCATCTACACACACACACACACGAGGGAGTCACTCCAAGGCCTGTCCTCTGCTCCTTATTGCCACAGATGAGATTCTCAGTTTGATTAACACTTCTCTTTCATCCTCTTCATTAGTGGGGGGAAAGCAACTGCAGCAGGCGAGGCCCGTGAAAAGAGGGCATGAATTAGAATCCACTTATTCCATAGACTGCCACTAATTCCGCACAATGGCGGCAAATGGTGGGAAGTAATAAGAAAAGGGTGTTTGTAATTGTGTCTTTGGATGGTGCGGTGCAAACTCCAGCAGCTGTTTCTGTACCGCAAAGCAGGCCGGCGTTGGAGGGTCCGCACCGCTCCGCTCGATAGAGCTCGAGCAATACACGCGTGTAGACGAGCCAATTTCCTCTGGCGGAGCGTCTTGCTGAGCGGAGGAGCCGGGCCCCAGTCAATGAGAACCACCTGGTGCTGAAGGAAGTGATTAGGGTCGGCACCACAGTGAGCGAAGAGCTGTTTTGTTAAGGAGGATTGAGATGCGGGGGGGGGGCGGGGGGGGGTCTCACCCGAGTGTGGTTTGTTGGAGAAATATTGACGTTAGGTTATTTTGTCAAAGTGAGATCTGAGGCGCAGTGTTGTTTTGTTGGTGCTCAATTAGAGGGGATTATTTTGGTTGCGGCATGTGTTTTGGGTTTGGACGCCGGTGCTGATTGCAGAGTGGGTTTGAGCGTGGGACGTGCCACAACAGTGGGGTTGTGGGTTCAGATCCCACACAGACTACACACATACCCACTTAGAAGTCAAAATAGTTCTGAGGGTGGCTAACCATAGAGAACATGAACACTTTGTCTGCTGCATCAATGGGAATTTTTATTGCAACCACAAAAATGCGTCTGTAAATGTAGAGAGAATGGTGACAACATTCGCATGGGGAGAGGCTCAACTTTAGCGGGGGCCACCCATACAACAAACAGACCCTTTGGTTTCAAGCCCCATTCAAAGGCATTCGATGCACGTTGATAAAGTACGTCACTGTGGCATTACATTAACACACGCATTGCAAAAGTCAAATGTGATTTCCTCTCAAGGATTCAAGAGGACATTTTATAAGCTGCATTTGTAATTGTTTACTTCGAGGAACCTTAGTCTGATAAAGAAATGTCCTTGGTTGGCCAAATATCATTACTGCGCTTAATTGAATGAGAACTAAACATCTTTTCATCCTTTTTGTATTCACCATATTAGTTGCAGAGATGCAGAAAAGGTTCTACAACAAAGTCTGACGTGCTAAGAAACAAGCAATCAGAGCCTTTTTTTAAAGAAGCCAAAACCGTACCACTTGAAGGACATCATTAATTTAACTATTTGCCTTTTTGTTTTTTCTCCCAAATACACTTGGCTAACCTTGAGGTTTTTTAAAACGTTATATTTGTGTTTTCGCTCTGCTCGTCTGACTTCTTTATTGCGATGTGGCCGCGTTCCCAGTTTCTCGGCAATTAACTTGGTGAGTACAATGTTGTTATTAGCCACGGAAATAACACCGGAATGATCCTCTTAAATTAAACAATACATGATTAAGGCTCTCCTCGTTTTCCGCGAGACAAGCCCCCAGAGCTGCAGCTCCGAGCCCTCCGATCATCTGAAGGCTCGTTCACTTTGATGATTATTTCATTTATTTGACCTTTTAATTTAACCGGGCATGTCAGATCCTTCTCTGCTACCTAAGCTGGTGTGTGTGTGTGTGTGTGTGTGTGTGTGTGTGTGTGTGTGTGTGTGTGTGTGTGTGTGCCTTCCTGCAGCGGTTATCACAGTTGAGTGAATGTTGGCTCGCGGACAGTAGCTCTGATCACATTTGATGATGGAAATACATACCACAGAGGATTGTGTGTGTGTGTGTGTGTACATGAGTGGGAGCAATGGCAGGGAGATCAAGGGGGTCAAGAGTGTCCTTGTCCTCTCTGTCTTTGATTGTTTGTCTTCATTTTTCATCTTCATTTTTTGTTTCTTCTTTTTTTATTTGCTTTTTATCCCACATTTCCCCTCTTGTCGTTTCCTATTTCCTTTAAGGGACCTACATTCTGTCCATCATTCCCCATGCCTCATTACGGCTCTCCTCCTCCCTGCCTGTGTCCTCATTGTACCTCTCTCTGTTTCTCCTCTAATCTCTCTTCATCTTTGTTCATCCCTTCATCCCTCCCCAGTCTGGATCTAGGCATTTAGGCCTCTAATTGAGCTGGCGTCACTTGAATACTTCATAAAGCAGGAACAGCAGAGAGAATCCCGCCATTGTTTTCTCAGAGAGAGTGGGCAGGGGCTGATGTGTGTGTGTGTGTGTGTGAACGTTTTTGAGAGGGAGGGAAGTAGAAACTATGGAACATTTTGCAATTATATGATATATAATAATGTCCACCAAGCTACAACAACAAGTGGACTCTCACGTGTTTTTCAGAGACCATTAAAGGGGCTCAATTATGCTTTTTGGGCTTTCTCACTTCTGTAACATAACATTCTATTGACTAAAATAGCAAGATAAAAGGACAAACAGTCACCCAAAAATAACCCCCATGATGTACCCAATATATTCACCCATTGTCCTAATTATTTTCTTTATATATATCTAAAGACAATCACTTCTCCAGTTGGAGGATTTGCTGGTGACCTCAGCAGAGGTTATGTTTTCAGTTCGGTTCGTTTGTCAGCGGGATTACAGTTCACTGAGGTCTGCGCTCTGAGTGTCCTTCTAGTTTTTGATCTGATTTATTAAATTACTTATGTCTTTAGTTGGTTGGACAATATAATATTTGGAGGATTTAGCTTGAAATCATAATTTATTTGCTAATGTCTGATGTTTTATACCTAGAAACGATAAATAGCAACACAGTACTAGTTGCAGCCCTGCATGCCTTATTTGGTTATCTTTGTGCTTGTTAGATAGAAAAAAGTCATAAAAGAGCTTACACCCAATTCCTTTCCTTGACATATTTCAAACAATGTGTTTCACATTTTCAAATTTGATTTGATTTTCTCAGCTGACACACCAACCATGGCCCCATTCCCAAAAAGTGAAATGTGTTCCTCTTCCAAAATGTGTTTTGGACAGCAACTTTGGCTTTGCGCTCCAACACACACACGCACGCACGCACGCACGCACACACACACACACACACACACACACACACATACGTCACTGTTCAGAATTACAATGATTCAGTTCATGAGGAGATG